GTTTACACATTCCAATTCCTGTCCTTGGCTGTTAAGGTTGATCAGAGTTAAACATGGAAGGACTCTGGCTCAGGCAGGGATAGTAACCCCAACACCCCCGTTTTTAAACTCCCCTCCCACGAACAACGAATTTGTGCCTGGAGATCTCCTGATTATTGTAAGCGAATCGGGTCCTCTCTGCGTCCTCTGATGCTGAAACTGCTGTTCCTGCTGCTGCTTTGGGGATTGATAAGGAAAAACCTCTTGCACACTCCCCCTTGTTCTAGCTGCTGACTTTCTTTCCCCAGCAGGCAAACCCAAGCTAACCCCTTGAAGCTGTATCCTGGGCACACACCACTCTGCCCTCTGAAACTACCCCTAGTATAAGGTGCACCCATTAGGTTAAATTTAGCCTTTAGTCTAGATAAATTGTAATTTCATTTTGCATAGTTGTGGTTAAGTTAGGTTTAGAAAATTGCTTGCATTGTACTCTGTAAGTTAGGCTTAAAGAATTGTTGCATTGTGTTTTGTTACTTGCTAATTTGTGTAGTCTTGGTTAAGTTAAATCATAGATAAGATTTTGCTGTGTTCTGTATAATTGTCTCTCTGCTGTTTAAACTTGCAGCCTGTCTGCTCTCTGTGTCGTCCTGAGTTTAAATCTCCCTCCACCACGTGCTCCTCTTCCCCATCCCCCAACCTCATTCCTCTACCACTTTCTTCCCCCCCCCTCTCTTTTAATCCCTTCCCCCACGTACTCTCCCTACTCCTACTGCTGCCAAACCTCAATTGTATTACTGAAGTCTAGCATAAAACCCCATTGGTTACCCCTTTTCTCTCTAACACCCCTCACATTTTACATTTACACCACTGTGACACATTTTTTACCTAAAGTTGTTGGTTATTTAACACATTTTACCCATAACTGTTAGTTGGTTACATGCTGCTGTGACACACTCTTTACATAAAAATTGTTAGCTACCTGTTACATTTATACTTCAGTGTTAATTGGTTACCAACTGTATTGTACCCCACTGTATTGTACCCCACCATTGAAACTCCCTATCCTATTTACTAAAAGAAACCCCTCCCCAATTGTCTACCTTAACAAACCTCATACCCCTCACTATTAAATTTTCTCTGTTTTTGCATTTTCTTAATAAAGTTTATTTTGCACCCCACCAATGCAGTAGTTGTCCCCCAAGATCCCCTACCTGCTGGCAGGGTCAGTGACATCATGCAAGTCACTTCTCATCCTGTCCCTGATCAGCTTAGACTGTAAACTCTTGAGGGCAAGGCTGGCTGAATGTTTGCCCAGACCCTGGCATGAAGGGGTCACAACTGAGCTCAGGACTCCAAGGTAGTACTGGTATGGAAACAAAATGTCTTGTTGGCGCACAAGTGTCATTTGTAAAGTCATGTATGTACAAACAGACAAAAGGGGCTGAACTTAAAAACTGGATGGTAACAGCCTATGAATCCCAGTGATCGAACCTGGTGATAGTCTGAACAAGGAGCTCCATGTGGTTGCTTAGTTTTACACTGATTCAGCCAGTCTAGGTTACAGAATAAAATCCCAGGCAAGTCACTATTGATTAGATGCTCCATCCCTTTATTTAGGGTTACCATATCTAACCAATAAAAAAAGAGGACCTTCCACAGGCCCTGACCCCGGCCATTTCCCCACCCCCACCCCCGCCCCAACTCTGCCCCTTCCCTGCCCTAACTCCGCCCCCTCCTCCCTCCCACTCCCAGCCATGCAGAAAGGGCTGCCCCAGCGCTACTGGCTTCACGGTTTGCCAGGCAGCCCCCAGACCCTGCGCCCCCGGCCGGCGGTTCCCCAGCGCAGCTGGAGCCCGGGAGGGGAAGCGCCCCGCCGGGGGCGCAGGGTCTGGAGGCTGCCCGGCAAACCGTGACGCCGGTAGCGCTTGGGCTTCGGGCAGCCCCCTTGCCTCCGGACCCTGCGCCCCCAGCCGGGCACTTCCCCTCCCGGGCTCCGGCGGCGCAAGGTCCGGAGGCATGGGGGCTGCCCGAAGCCGGTAGCGCTCGGGCAGCCCGGCTCTTAAACACAGCCGAAGAGTCAGGGGAGGAGCAGAGCCTCCGGCCGCAGCAGCACAGAACAGTGTTTGAGTCTATGTGGAGCCCACAGCTCTCCCTCTGTCAGGTGAGCTGAGCAGGGCGGGGGGGGGGTGCAGAGGCTGCGGGGTGAGTGGGGAGCAGGGGGTACAGAGGCTGCAGGGCAAGGAGGAGCAGGGCAGGCAGGGGCATAGAGGCTGCAGGGAAGCACTTAGCAACCCCCAACCAAGATCAGAGCGGGAGGGAGGAGGGGGAATTTGGTGTGCTCAGAGGAGGGGGCAGAGACTTTGGAGAAGGGGCAGGGTTGGGGTGGGGCCAGGGCCAGAACCAGGGCCCCGTGGAGTGTCCTTTTTTTAAATGTTTGAATATGGTAACCCTAACTTTCCCTAGAGCAGTGAGTAGCCCTACCAATGCTTTTTTCCTTTAAGAAAATAAACCCCCCATTAAGAGATCTTCCTTGATTCTTTTAGACCCTTATGTAGGCTCACCTCATTTGCTCTATATTGATTCTATTGAGGAGCTAGACTATTCTCATTTGTGCTTTCCAGAAGAATAGGAAAGAGGGTTCAGCAGGACTTCACCTGCACTTGGATGTTTCCACTGCTAAATTGACTTAATTGTTGTTTCATTAAGGTTAGACTTGTCAGACTGAGCCAAGTCCCTGCCCTCCTCAAGTCATTGTTAGGACCCACAGGAATTAGTGGATCTCTAGCTGTAGGAGCAAGCCAGTTCAGCAGTTTGCTCACATTTCAATGTGATTCAGTGAGCTAGAGCATTTAAAGCAGTTATGGGACACCAGGATGTTTTCTTGCTTGACCCCCAGCACATTAGTGTCCAGGGCATGGCCTCCTCAGGAAGGGCACACTCCCAGAGGTTAGTACTGGAACCAAGACACTCCCCATCTACTAAAGGTGATTTAGTTCTACCAGCAGGGTCTAGGATCAAGCCTAAGTGAAGCTCTTCCACAAGAGAGATTCAAGACTTGCCCTGACTCAGGCTAGTGAGGGAATTTTGGTAGAGAAGATGAAGTTTAGCTAAAAAGCAGTATTAGATATTCAAATGTAAATTTTGACCTGCTGATCCCCTTCCACCTCAGAGGAAGAGGAGCTCCCAGCCCAGCTATAAGTGACATGCACACACCATCTGAATTTGTTAAAGTTTTATTTGGATTCATTCCACATCTGCATTAATGCTGGTACACTGCTGTTCTGCAGTAACCAGCCCCTCTGAGCAGGAGTCTGCAGCCCCCCTGGTTCTGGAGCAGAGCCTTTTGTGATGGCCATTGTACAGGCAGAAACCCAGGGACACCACAGCAATCAGAGCAACTTCCAGCAGCAGGGCACCAACAGGAGGTGGCATCACACTTTGTTTCCCTCCTACAAGAGGAAAGAGGCAGCTTATTCCCCAAAGCCATCCATCCAAAAGACACATGGTCCATTGTTGCAGGGGATACCTTCAGGCCAGGGTGGGGGACAGGTGTGATGTTCATGGGAGCTTAGTTATGTTGACAACCCCATCGTAACTGGGGTGGAAGTTGGGCAGTTAGTCCTTTCCAACCTCTCACCATGCTCAGGGAGGGCATCAAGCTAGTTATTTCATCTCCCATTTTTGGCAACTCTACCTCATATGGAATTCTCAGGAGTGGATCAACTGGGCTTCAATCTATGTGCAGCAACAGCTTTTAGCCAAGACTAGCAAGCACCTGCTCTGACTTCCTTGGGGTTCTATGTTCTTTAAAGACAAGAAATGGATGTTGGAGTATACTAGAATTTAGAAGTTGGGATAGAGGAGCTTGGGTGAAGACAGCTTCTCTCCATGACAAGCTAAAACTCCCACAATAGCTCCCTTGGTTAAGGCAAGGCCAGTAGGGGGTGGGAAGTCTGGAGAGGGTATGGCTGTAGCTGCCCACCCCCTCCTCCCCCCACTGCCCAGGTGAGTAGACCCTTCAGGTCTCTTGAGCAAGGCACCAGGCAGTTCGAACTCTGTTCCCCTCCCACTGGTCAGCTGAGCTTTCTGGGGCTGTTGTACCACCTCCATTCCCTGCCTGTCAGGGCTCCTACTGGCTACAGTGGGTTGTCTGGTTGCTATGGAACTCAGCTCCAACCCACATGAGGGGTAGTTACCTGTGACACTCTGGGCTGCAAGGGAGCTGTTTGAATCCCACGCATAGCTTCTAGTCTTTGCAGATGGTTTCTGCACCTTCAAGGGCCCAACAACAACAGCATGGACAAGTCCCTCCTTTGAAGAGCCTGAGGCAAAAGGAGATGGAAGCCTTCAGATTCCAGGGGCAGTAATTTATATGGGCCCATGGTGCCTGTGCTCCAGCAAGTTCAGGGCCTGGGTCTCTCCCCCAGCCCTGGCTGCCACCCCCATGCACCTCCCCCAGAGCATCCCTGGTCCTGCCTGCCACGCCAGGCAACAGGCAGTTGCCCTGCTGCTCTGTGCCTCCTTGCCAGCCACTGCCAGCTGCAAAAGGGAGCAGTGCTGGCAGCAGCAGAAGGAAGAGGTGCACATGTGATGTCAGCTCTTCTCCCCCCACCCACCACAGGGAAGGTGAGGGGGCTTCCTAAACCTGAGAGGGGTCTGGCCCCTAGGAGCACATGCAGAGCCTGTGCCAGGTGGGTATGCTGCTGGTGGGGAGAACAGGACTGTGGAATCCTCCTCTCTGGCCCCAGCCCCAGGGCAGCCTGCCTGCACCCCAGAGCCCTCACCCCAGTGCAATATAGGGAAATTGTTACATTTGTAATGTTTCCAGTACATTTAAAAAAATATTGTCTTACAAGGCAGGTGTGGGGATTGGACCCATTCTGGGCACCACTAAAAATTATACAAACCTGCTGCCCCTGCCCTTCCCTCCCCCAAAAAAGAATACTGAACAATCCATCTCTTGCTTGGCCAGGAGCTGGTTTACTCAGCTGACTCAGGAGATGCTGAGCTCTTCCCTTCACTTGGGCTAAGAGAAGAGCACTATTACCAGCATCTCAGCTCTAGTGAACTGGAATACTCATGCCATGTGACAGTGAAGACCTCCTGTGGTGTGAAGGCAAAGGGGCACCCCAAACCAAGCCTGCCAGACTTGTTCCGGACAGTGGAGACTTGGCCAATGAGTACACAGAACATCCTACCCCACCCCCACACACTTCCCTCTCAACAGAACTAGTACCTTCCAGGTCTCTCTTGTGGCGAGAGGTTGTGGCTTGGCATAGGGAGTCACAGCAGCTACAGCCAGAGCTCAGAGAGGGACTGTCCAGAAGTTCCCACCTGTTGGAGAGCAGTACACAGGTGACTCACCCCTGGTGATCAACATCTCAAACGTTAAGGAAGTACATGGGATTGAGAGATCCCGATGCTCAGTCCCAGGCAGCTCCTAACTCACCTGGGCACTGAGGCTTTCAGGTGAACTAGGGCAAGGTTGAGTATCTGCTTGCAACAGGAGCTGGAATGTCAACTGCTCAGGGTCAGACTGGCATGAGGAGTGGCAGTTCTGTCCTATGGGGGTTCCCTCAAGGGGAGTGAGCTGAGCAGAGAAGGCATGGATTGTAGCTGACTGGGAGCATTGTCCCTTGCAGCAAGGAGAAGTTGGGTGTGGTTGTAAGATGACCATTGGTGGAGCATGGGTGTTCTTAGGCAATATCTACACTGAGCAGGGGTGAGATCCCAGCTATCTACATATACTCACTACCTCTCATAGTTGGAGTGAGTATATAAACTGTGCTACTATCCATGCTACTGCAGCATAGCCAGCCATGCAGAGGACAAACCCACCTGACTCCATGGGTACATACAAGCTGTGCCACCACTGCTACATGACTGGTTCTACTTGCACTAGCTCTATTATGTCTGAATGGACTGGGACTCAACCCCCACAAAAGCTCATGATGTGGCTGTAGCCCTAAAGACCAAGAGTTTGCTTGGTTAGCTGCTGGTTTTGCAACTGAACTTCAACCAATCTTCAGTGTTGAAACAAAATCCATGGACTCTGCAGCACAAGGGCATAATTGGTCCCCCAAGTGAAGAAGTCTAGCACTGCATCCCATGGAGGCTATTGGTCCTGGGCATGCTAGACATCCTGGTAAAGCTCACTACCAATCACAGAGGGAAGCAGGTAGAGATCATGTGAATTGCCTGGTGCCTTGCTCAAGACAGGCCTGGATTCCAAACAGACATGGATTTCCCCCTCTGCACTTTGGGTGTGACAAACCAGGTCAAGCACTATCTCACTACTGCAAGAGCAGCCTGTATTCTGTGTTTATAGGGGCCATGTTCCTTCATGAAGGAACGGGAATCACTAGGGAAGGGCCTGTGTCCTACTTTGAACCAAGTCACTTTGGCACAGCACTTGAAGTGAGGTAGTTTCCCTTGGTAGGTTTGTAAGGGAAACAAACCTTTGCCACCTATCCCAACCAAATGTAATTCACCTGAATGCTTTCAGTGCTGTCCAGCTAGTCCCACTGAGAGTTTGTTGGCTTTGCCTTTAGTTATAGTCCCTCCACCACAGTGAGGTGGGAAGAGGCAAGTGGTATCATGAAGCTAGAGTTGCTTTGGCCACTAGAGCCAAGTTTGTTGCCCACAGAAGAGTCTCCAGAGGACTCTTGTTTACAAGCATCTCTGCAGGTTGGTCCCTCTTGCGTGGCATGTCACTGGGACAGACCCATGTAGAACAGCCAGATTCTGTTCTGGCTGGTTTAATTTTAGAGAATTGCAATTCCTCCTTCTCCCCAGCAGCCCTTACCTGTTGGTGTTCCTGTGAAATGAACAGGCCTTCCTTGTGGGATCCATGAGCACTTTGGGGTCCCAGACCAGCACCTGGCAGTGGAGATAGATCTGGAGGGGGTGGGCATGGAGAGAAGAAAGCAGATGGAGGTCATCCCCACTGCCTAGCAGGAAGAAACATCCTTCACTGGTGGTGTGGGGGAAGCAGGAGAAAGCCCTACTCAGCATAGCTGCTCTGCTTGAGCACAGTCCAGATACCAGGATTCCCATTACAAGTCCCCCACACGCTGCCATTCAGAGATGCTCTGGTTTGGGGATGGGTCTGTCATGATCCCATGCTTGCTATGGAGGAGTCAGTTGGGGCTTCCAGGCAGTTGCCCATTTGCAGCCCCTAAAATGCTGCATTCACAATGAGTTAGGCACCTAAAGTGACACAACTGCCAAAATCCCAGAAGCAGGTTTTACAGAAGCCCCACTGGGCTTTCCCCCACCTATAGGAGTCTAACCTTGCTCAGGACCTAGATTTCTGGCCTAAGTCCCTTAGGTTTCTATCTCTGGTCATGCACATTGCAGCCCCATGCTGGGCATCCAGCCCCAGAGCAAGTGACCTGGGGACAAGGGTGGAGGACACAGACCTGCTTGTAGGGCCCAGTCTGGTAAGCTTGCTCAGACCCTATCTACTTATTGGGCCCCTAGAGGCAAGCTGCACAAGACAGCTGGGGAAGGAGGTGCTCTCTCCATTTTTAGCCCTGCACTTTGGGATTGGGAAGACTACCCTCAGGTGTGTGTGGGGCAGGGGGTGAGGGGATTTGAACAGGGACCACCACCAGGTGAGCACCCTAAGCACTGGTCTGGTCCAAGAATCCCAAGCACAGCTAGGTGATTCCCTGCAGATGGGACTTAGGTGCCTATCGCCCAGTGGCTAATTTCAGCCAGGAGCTGGCTAGGGTGCTGGTTTTTGTGAATGCTATTCTGAGGTCCCCCTCCCTGAGTCCTTGTTGAGAGCCTGGGGGCCACTCAAGCTTTGTGAATGCCACACCTAGAAAGTCCCTGGGAATGCTCAGCATCACCATGCTAGAGCTTTGTGATGCTAGCCTGAGGTGGCCAGAACATCCACCTCTGCACCAACTAGGCCACTTCAGTGTCAGAGTAACAAAGCAGCTTGGTGCATGGAATCTCTTGAAGGCCTGTTTGCTAGGAGCATAGCAAGGCATGTCAGAGGCTAGATGCTGTCTGAAGATGCCTTTCAGTGCTTAAGGCAGTGGTTCTCAACTCATGGCCTGCTAGTGAGGCAGTCACACAGCTGCAGCCAATGTGGCATCCTCAGGGCCATACATATGTGGGCTGCATCCACACAACACAACAGCTGCATGTGCAGCCCACAATGGTAAATAGGTCGAGAACCACTGGCTTAAGGAAAGCATGCTGGTAGGGGAGTTTGAGTCCTCAGACACTGTTTCACAGAAGTATGTGAGAGGTGAACTGCTGTTCACTAGGTTCTTGGATGATAGGTTAAACAGATAACTGCACAGTTCTTAATGCAGTTGTGTCAGTTTCCCCAAGCGAGAGTCTAGCTGAAACTAAAGCTTTGAAGGGTTTATGGTGGAGAGACCTTCACCAACCAGTTGTTAAAAGCCATTCTTCACTTAGTTGTAGCTTGAGCCATCTGCCAGTTGCATTCAGAGGATGCAGGTACTTGGCATTCCAGCCCTAGATGGAAGCTGTACATCTAACTCAGAATCTTAGTTACTTACATCAGAGTCCACACCTGCAAATTCAAAGGCCTGTAGGGAGAGCTGGATAGCTTCAGGGGTTTGTCTGGGCAGGAACTGGGAGTTTGCCACCTTACCATCCACAAGACACCTGGAACAGGAAGACAGTTAAACTCACTGGTCCAGGGACTATTAGAGATAGAAGAACTGTTTGACCCTAGGAGAGACCTACTGCATTATTCTCTCCCCACCTGCAGTCAGTTTTCAATATGGTGGTCATATTGCCAAGTGTTAGAGCAATATGACCACCAAGTTGCCCTAGCAACAGGTAAGGCTTTTGGACATATCAATTATGCCAGCATGTCCAGTTCTTTAAGGGGCCATGTGGTTACCAGAGGCCAAGCCAGACATCTTTATTTGCTACTTTATCCTGGTAGTCTGTGGCTTAGTCAAATCAGCTGGAGTCAAATTTGGAAGAGAGGCTGGTCTCTAGGATTTATGTAGGAGCCTTAAGAACCCAGCATGTTCTGTTACAATGGAGTTGGGGCAGTCCCAGGAGCATATTCCACACCTTATGCCACTTCAGACATTCAAGCACCTCAGAGCTGCTGTCTCCTGCAGATAGTTACCCATGGTTTGCAATGATGCTATAGTTCCTGGGAGATTTGCTAAATTCTGGGGTTGGGGTGGCAGTGCACTCATCCACAAAGATCTGCAGAGGCTGGTGGAAGGAACTCTGTACAGAAAACTCTATATGGATCTGAGAGCCTAGGAAGAAGACCTTGGAGTCTGATGGGGCACTGAAGTCCACTGCAAGAAAATGAGAGTTAGTTGTCAAGTGCACTGTACAGAATGGAGTCTCCATCCGAGACCAACAGGCACTGGGAGCCTTCTGCAAGTGCATGCAGGTTTTGGGGAGGTGTGTGTTCCAATGGGTATTCCTGTGGATGCATTACAAGATCATGAGGCACAAGTCTTTGCTTCAGTAGTTTTCTAGAAGCAGAGATGGCCATGGTGTCAAGACACCATCCTAGAGGGGGAAGGGAGTATTGAGGTGGAGGGAACTGGGTTAGGACATTGCCTGAAGCTGCAGGAGGCTCAGTGGGAGATCACAACGAGCTCAGCTGGCACCACCCACCCCTTCTGCAGGGATCTTACCATTCATTAGGGTCACTGTGAACATTAGCACTCCAGAGGCAGACAGGTGGCCAGTCACTGAAGATCCGTATGTAGGAGCCAAGCGCCCTGCCCTAGGAGAGGCAGGAAAGGGTTATCCTGCAGGGATCATATTCTCATTCCCTCCTAGGAAGAGGGAGTTCTCCCTGCTTGTATAAGAGGGTGCTAGGCCAGAGGCTACCTCAGCTGCACTGGAAAGCTCAAGTCACCCCTGCTCCACAGCATACCTAACAGAGGCTGCTCTAGAGCTGGAGCGAAGGCTGACACCTTCCCCCCCCCCCCCCCACTGTCTACAGGGGCTTGCATATCCCAGAGTCACCTGCAGACAGGTTTTTGCAGGGTCAGCTCACACTGGTGACCCCATCATGTGCTGCTGTGAAGACATGGCACAGTCAGCCCCACAAGTGTCACTTGAATGTAGTTTGACTCCCACTGATATCCCCAGGCTTTCCCTTGTCCCCAGGCTGCCCCCTCCCACTGAGTCATATCTCATCCACCTTCACTAGCTCCATCTTCCAGGTGGAGTCTCATTCAGATCCCTGAGCTCTAGACCCCCATTGTATTAGCTCTAGCACTAGAGGTCCCCAACTCCCCAGGTTGGGTCTTGGGTTTTAACCCCTTTCCCCCCAAAATATCATTGGAATGAGTCCTGACAGGAGGGGCAGCATGAGATCCTCCAGCCTGTTTGCAGTTCATAGGAGTGTTTGGGGGCCTCTATCTTGCACCCACAACTAATGCTTTACTAGCACTAGAGCACCACATCCTGTCCTTTCATCTGCAGTACTCAGGGCTGCCTGCTACCCTCCCCAGCCTCAGCCAAGCTGCCTGGCGCCTAGAGATATTTTAGGTTCTATGTTACTAGGGTTAGGAGCCAGGTTTACTAGCTGGCAATAGCCAGGACAATTCATCCTACATGCGCTTGCTTTGCTCCAGCTCAGTGATCAACCCCCCATTGACAGCTAGGGATGCACATCTTCCCCTCCCCCCCCCCCCAATCAGCTGATTAGAGCCCTGCCTTGCATCCCTGCTGCTTTTTATGGGGTCCTATTGCCCCTGGGTGAAGCCCATGAGAGTCTGGGAAATTTTAGCATCAGTCCCTTAGGACTCTAGCACAATGGGAAGTGCTGGCAGCTTACTCATAGTCCGTGCAGTTGATCCTCTCAGTGAAGGAGGTGGTGTAGCGTCTGCCTGTGCCAGGGGAAGGCCTGTAGACAAGGTCTGTGAAGTATTCAATCATGTTCCCAGATGTCTGGAGATGTGTGCGCATGTGCGGGGAAGAAATCAGAGAGGATGGCAATCAGCACTAGTATCAGTTACAGCTTCCTTCTGTAGCTCTCGGCCTAGCAAAGTGGGAGGGTTGGTTCATTGCTAAGGAAGTGAAACAGTATTTCTGTTCCTTGAGACAAGCCCTTCCCCTAAGCAAGGGAGAGATGCCTCACCACGGTCATTCCTCCTTCCCCCCCCCCCCCCGCTTCCCTGGCAGGGCACCAGTCTGTTACTGGGAGTATTAGATTTGTAATATGGACAGAAGCCCAGCTAAGTAAGGGCCACTTGGGAGGGGCCTTTGTCATTTAGCATTTCTCCCCTCTGCCAGGGGAGCCAACATGCATGCAGCTAGTTGGCCAGGACCCAGCCTCCCCCCCCAGAGCTAGAACAGTCCATAATGGAGCATCAGGATCTGAATCCAAAGTGATATCCCCTTGGGGTATCCGTTCGCACAGCCATCTCATCCCCCTGCCAGTTCAGCACGAGAGGGGCATTCTCTCAGACCCCTCACCCAGCAGGAGGGCAGTTCCTTCTCACCCACACAGCCAAAGCAAGCTAGCTTACAGGCATCTGAGCAGCAGACAGCACCATGCTGAGTGGAACACAAGCCTGGACCCCAGCTAGGGCTCTCTCACTCACCAGCCGAGAGAAGCTGCAGTCCTTCAGGTGGTACTGGAAGTGCAGGAAGCCCTGTAGATCATTGATTGAGTAGAGGCAGCTGCCCAAGTGCACAAGCTGTGGATCCAGCAGGAGTCCATTTCCCAAGGGGTCCATCTTTACAGCCAGGTGGATGCTGGTTTTATTGCACTCATAGAGTACAGAGTTAATGGGTGCTAGAGGAGTGAGCAGACTTGACATAACCTCTGGAAAGGCCCCCCAGACCTACTGTAATCCCACCAGATAGCAGGGCCTCTGTGCAAGGGCATCAGAGGAGTCCTCCGCTCAGCCAGCAAAGCTATCAGCTAGCTAGCCCTTCAGAACCTTTGCAGTTACCAGAAAGGAGCCAGTACCTGGAGGTTTGACTGTCCAGGCCCTTTGACACTCAAGCTAGAGGGTCTGGCTTCAGTGTCACATTGCCTGTTAATTGGGAGGAATTTCCTGCAGTTGGTTCACTGTTGGCCTCACTCCTCTTAAAGGTGGGTGTGCATCACCAGCAGGTTTTCCACAAATGCCATTGTGCTTGTTACTTTAAAAAAAAAAAACACCTCTTACACCCCCACCCATTACCTGGGGACTTCCAGGGAACTGTTTTAGAGCCCATCCCTGCTTGTCAGGGTCCTTTAAAGAAAGGAAGCCATTTTCAAGCCTTCTCAAAGCTTTCCATCCTGGGGTGGGCTGAAACATAGGTGCCAACTCCCTTGGTGCACTGGGGCTGGAGAACCCATGGAAAAAATAGTGGGTACTCAGCAGCCACCAATCAGCTGTTCGGTGGCAGAACAAGGGTGGGGGGGTGCTCAGAGTCAGGGAGGAGCAGGAAGAGGCAGAACAAGAGTGGGGCCCTGGGGCACCCACCCAGAAAGTAGTAAATCAGCACCTGCAGCTGTTCAAGATGCTTCTGTAGCTAAACAGAAGACAACCCCAAGTTCTCATTAGCCTTCAAAGCTACACTGCTGTAGCAGCCAGAATTGGCTACAGCTGGTGATGAAGAGCTAGTGTTAGAGCTTATTCCCAGCACAAGCAGGAGCTCACACTCCACAAAAAAAGGGGCTCGCAAGGAGTCTCAGAAATAGCCCGCAAGCAGCTTTCAGGTTGGGTTACTGCATTTACAACCTTAATTGCCAAGGTCAAAGGGACAGGGTCAAAGCAAAGCTGGTCCTTTGAAGAGCAGTGTGTTGGCAGCTCTAGTGAGTATAGGCCTAGAGTTAGGACATTAGAGGTTTCTTACAGAGCCAGCCCCTGGAGTTATGTTACTGCATGATACTCAGCTTCATTTGAGACTGAAGTGATTTGGTCACTGAGACAAGCTTTGAAACAAGGTTTAAAAGCTAGAGGACAAATAACAAGAACCCCAGTGTGTTTAAAAACAAAACATCCTTGATTTTTGAGTACTGGACCTTAGCTTAGAGCCCACAGGGGGACTTATCACCACACACTTACCTCTCTGAGCAGCAAGAGCTGAGCTCCAGACAAGCACCCCCAGAAACACTTTCCACAGCTCCATGATGTTAGCAACCCACACTCAGGTTAGGAGGAAGGCAACATATCTCTAGCTCCTGGGGAGAAGCTATATATACCCATCTGGTGATAGGCTACTGCTGTGGTCAGAGCCACCTCCTTAACCTCCAGGAGCAGCCCCAGCCAGGAGTTGCAGAATGCTGCATTCAGCACAGGTGCTGGGCATTCCTCATCTGCCTCCCCACAGGAAAGCCAGCCTTAAGCCCCACACAGACAAACCCAACTGTCTCCAAGCAAAAGGCCTACTCAGCTAGTCCTAGAGAGCAGGAAGAGGTGTCACCTACAGACATGGGCAGGCCTCTTGGCTGCTCTCCTAAGCTTTGGTGTGCCTCATCTAAGTCAGTGGTGAGCTGGGCAAGTGTCAAGGTGCACCCTCCAGAACAGGCTGCAGGACTGGGGCTGCATGCTTTAAGTTCTTTGCACCAGGGGCTGCACCTTCAGAAGAGTTTATATAGCACCCAGCACAACAGGGTCTGATTCAGATGAGGGCCTCTGGCAGCAGTGGAGATGGAAGACTCTCACAAGAAAAGAAGAGGTGCTGTAGGAAGTGAGCTGTTTTCTCTCCTCTCCAGTGAGTTAGCACAGAGCCACCACACAAGGCGGCACTGTCTTTTGGGTGACCCATAAAGCTGATGTTCTAACTGCTTGGAGTAATTAAAATCCCAGGGCACTTTTTGCAAAAGGAGGGTGGGCTCCAGCCATGTATCAACCCAGGTACCTGTATTCTGCCTCCCTAAAGTCATCCCTGTGTGATGTTGTTGACATAATCTGGGACCATATAGAACATGGTTGCAACCAAAGTCCTGTAGTGGCACCAAATCTTGTATAAAGGAGGTCAAATGAGGTGTCTAAGACAAGGTTATGGTTTATCGGTTATGATTATGCTGTCTATATGTGTGTATCTATTTTGTAGTTGATGTTATGAATATTGGCTCTATACTATCTGTATTTCAAACTTATGCTATGCTTCTGGGAAACATCCCAGACAAGTTGGTGTTAGCTCTGCCTAGCCTGCTTGATGGCCCATTAAGGACCATCACTATACAATGGACCCATCGAGAGAAGGCAGATATGCCTTGCAACTCAGCAAAGTATGCAGGGACTGGCCCATGTGACTCCAGACTCCATTTTGCTGTAATTTTCCACAGTAAGGACAAAGAGGTGTTCTTACACTTGGAAAAGACTATAAAAGGCTGATGCCTCATCTCCATCTTGTCTTCAATCCTGCTTCTTACCTCTGGAGGGACTTTGCTACAAACAGAAGCTCTACACAAAGGACTGAGGACCCATCCCAGCTGGGGATGTATTCCAGAGACTTGATTTGAACCTGCAGTTTATTCTATCGCTGCTGCAAGCCTGAATCAAGAACTTTGTCATTACTGTATGTAATTGATTCCATTTTACCAATTCTAGCTCTCATCTACATCTTTTTCCTTTTATGAATAAACCTTTAGATTTTAGATTCTAAAGGATTGGCAACAGCATGATTTGTGGGTAAGATCTGATTTGTATATTGACCTGGGCCTGGGGCTTGGCCCTTTGGGATTGAGAGAACCTTTTTTTCTTTTACTGGGGTATTGGTTTTCATAACTATTTGTCCCCATAACGAGTGGCACTAGTGGTGATACTGGGAAACTGGAGTGTCTAAGGGAATTGCGTGTGTGACTTGTGGTTAGCCAGTGGGGTGAGACCAAAGTCCTCTTTGGCTGTCTGGTTTGGTTTGCCTTAGAGATGGAAAAACTCCAGCCTTGGGCTGTAACTGCCCTGTTTAAGCAATTTGTCCTGAATTGGCACTCTCAGTTGGGTCCCGCCAGAACCGCATCGTTACACCCTGCTGTGTCACTTAGAGAGGATACTCTCATTCCCTGTCCTAAAACGACCCTGCTGTGAGCTATTAAACAGCTGTCACGTTTCAATCCTGGGTCAGATGAATCCTGCAGCGTCTCCAGAGGGTGTCAGGCTGCAAAGCAATCTAGAAGTGTCAGTTCTCACCAGCTGCTGAGGGATGGAAGGGGGCCTCTGTGGTGGCTGTGCCAGCAGCTGCTCCACTTATACAAATTTGCTACCTGTGGTGCCCTACCTTTGCCAGCATCCCAGTGTGCTGTGCAAAGGCAATGCAGCTGCAAGGAAACCTGGACTCATTGTAGGATCTTGGTGGTTTATTTGCAGCAAGGGACATTTTTAGACCCTGATCCTGCGCTTGCACACATGGTTAAAGGTAAACGTGTGGATGTCTGTAGGATCAAGGCTTTGGCATCTGCACTGCTTCAGTGGCCAGGTTCTGTTCTGAATATGGGTCTATTCCTGGCTCTGCCACTGCCTTGGTGGGTGAGCTTGCAGCTTGGCAAGTCATAGTGTTAGGCCCAAAAATATGGAGTATAAAACATTGTTTGGCCAGCTTAGCCGAAGTGAGGCTAACAGTAGTTGCTGGGCCATTCCTGCCTCTCTGTGAAACCTGAGGACAAGGTTGCTTGAGCTGCAGAGAACGAGATAAGAGGGGGGGGCTGCATTCTTGTACCAGAAGTGCTAGGAACAGTTTGTTTGGACATATGGAAACTTGCAGTCTCCACTCCCTGTTTCTGTTCTTCATCTGTTCTTAACTCCCTCCTTTCTCCTAGTTTCTGGTGCATGACGACAAAGCTGATAAGTTGCTGAGGCATCACGAATTGTTTGTAGTGTCAAAGAAGATAGAAAGCTTCTAATATTCATGCATATCTAACTAATAAAGGGGGGTTGGATTGTTTTAACTATGACGCGACGGAACTGTCTATATAACCCTACTAGTTGTTAAAACCGTGGCTGGTTCTCTTTGGAGATGGGCCGCTCTCTATTGTTGTGTGCACTCTTCAATAAAGAGCTTGTGTTTGGACCTTGCTGGTGTTGCCTGTCTCTCTGCGGTCAGACAATGAACTGTGCCGTCTGGGTTTGAGTCCCCGACAATAGTCTCTCGCTGTGCCTCAGTTTCCCCATCTGTAACATGTGGATGACAATACTGACCTGCCATTGTAATGTTCAGGGTGGAAAATGCACAAGCATAACTGAAAAGTTGATTCTTTCTCTGCACTCTGAGCATCTGTGCAATGACTGGGTTAACTCAGTGCAACCGTGTGTAGACGCTCACTTCTGTTTCAGAGCACCTGACCTGCTGATTTCTTACTGAGTTAACCTACGGCCCTGCAGAGCTCTCTTAACCAGAAACAAGACTGTCCGCACCAGGGCGTTGCATTGATTTACCTGCATCAGTTTCTAACCCGATTTAGTACAATGAGTACCATGTTCCCACACAGGCAAGGCCAGATTAGGACAGTGCCAGATGAGCAGTGGCAGTTGCTGGAGAATCCCAGCAGGCCCTGCCAGTGGAGCATGCTGAAGGAGACTGCCAGTAGGGGAGCTGGGTAGGTTCCCCCGTATAGGCAAGCGGGGGACCCCCAGCAGTGAGTCAGAAAGGCTGCCTGGAAATGGATCCAGGAATCGGGCATCAGCAGGGGGAATTGCTGAGGGGCGGCAATGGCAGGAAGAGTCAGGGAGGGGGAAACCCAGCTGGAAAAGCCCTTTCCAGCAGGAGTAGTCAGTGACAGCTGCTCAGGATCCAGGAATAAGGCTGTGCCCACTTGCTCTCCATCCGCTCTCCTGGGATTTCCTCTTGGGAGGTCAGGCCTGAGCAGAGGAGGTCAGGAGGGGGAAAATGAAATCAATCTGCCCTTTGCGATCAATGGGGACAGACTTGTCCCTTGGGCCAGGTCCCCCCATCCCCTAAGGCTGCTGCCCCCAATGGGTCTCCATATCCATTGCTAATGGGGCCGGGACCCCTCTGCCAGCCCCCAGGGGAGAAGAAAGAGACGACAACGAGAACAGCTGAATGGTTCATATATTAAAAACTGTCAAATATACAGTATAATTGTCATACAAAATGATCATTTTAGTCCCTGTCTTTCCAAGCAGAGCAGAACGTTAGACACCCTCCTGCCAAGGAGTATCGATGGCACCCAATGGCTGTGGCCGGGAGAGGAAGGATGCCGTCTGACAGCAAGGTCCGGGGTTACCTTCCACTTTAAAGCACATGGGCCGTGCACGAGGACCACAGATCCCCGCCTGCATGGCTCCTTCTGCATCTGAGCAACTTTAAAGACGGAACAGGGTGCGCTGGCACTACCGTCCCATAGGCCACCCCGAGGATGAGGCTTTGCACTCTGCTCTGCTGTATGCCAGTTAGGGGTCACCCTCAGGCTCCCGCCACAGCCCTGGAGATGCTGCTGAGAACTGCTGATGGGGCACAGAACCAGCCATTGCCTCCTGAAGTCCACTCACAGGGGAGAGACAGGGACCAGTCTTCCCTGAAGCTGCCTGCTCTCACCCTAACGTGCCCCCCAAGTCCTGTCTGTGAGGGAAGTCTCTCTCCAGCACAGCCCCATGAACCTGGGGCCTATGCTCCAAGCAGTTGTCTTGGGGGGGTGGGGGCATCACCCCGTCTCCCATCTTCCAGACGCCTGCAACCAGCTCCTTTGCCGCTGCCACATGCCACCGCACCCAATCCCCGCCATGCCCCCTCTGGAGCACCCTGGGCTGCAGATTCGGCAGAGGACCCCTTTGCCAGCAGCTGCATATGGGCTGCGGGAGGAGAGGCCTTTAGTGCTTGTCCTGCTCTCACTGGGCCTCTTGTCACTCCATGAACTGCTGCCCTGGGTGTGAACCAAGCGCAGTGCTGGCAGAGCAGCAAAGCAGGTCATGTGGCCACCCCAGCTCCCCTGTGGCCATGGGAGGTTGAGTCCATGGGGTGGGGGCAGAGGGCCCTGGGCTGCAAATGCAGGACAGGTGAGTTCTCCCCTGCTGGAAATTCCTGGTGGTGCTGGGGGGTGGCTGGAATCTTGTCCCCCTCCCCCACCACCACGGAGTCTCCAGCTGCTTCATTCCCAGAGTCCAAGCTTGTAGTGGCAGGTGGGCCGTAAAGCTGGGGGATTCAATGCCAAGCAGGGGCTCCCCCCACCCCTCCCCTCTTCAGACAGTGCTCCCTCAAAGGACTGCCCTCTGTCTGCTCTTGCCACCCTCCCTCCTTGCCTCTGTGCAGCTGGGCTGCTTCCACCCCGTTCCAGGGGGTTACTCCCTGTATAGCCTGACGAGGTGTGCCTCTAGCTGCACTGCCCTGGGGCCCCTCCCTGCTTGCTAGCTCCCTCCTAACACGTCCATGATGGCTGCTGCTCAGCCCAGTCCCTCCCCAGGCTGATGCCCCTGCGTCGCCCTCATACTGCACCCTGGTTGGGTCCCATTGCCCTTCGGCTCTGTCCCATTCTCCTGCAGAGAGGTGCAGTGGCTGCAGGGTTAGCGGCTGGCTCATTGTGAGGGGTCATAAGCATAGAAGCTGCTGAGAGCTTGTCTCCTGCTCCCCCTTCCCCTCTGGACTCCCCACCCCAGCCAAGTGTCAAAGCAAGAAGAGAAAGCAGGTTACATGCTGTCCTGTCCCCTCAGCCTCTCTCCCAAGCCCTCCCTGTACCCCCACCAGTTCTCACCAGATCCCGTGGCTCATGCCCAGCCTCCCCTCTAGGGAGGGGCACCATGGGACCCTCTAACTGGTGGTATGGGGGCAGGAAGAGACCATGCTTTGCTCTGCTGAGGGCCAACCAGCCATGGTCCAACAGGAAGATGGAAAGCTTGGAGCATTGAGTCCACGCTGGCTCAGGGAATGATACACACAGGGCAACTGGAGCTATGGGTTACAGTGGAAATCTACCGTCCAGTGTCCAGCCCTAGGCCTGAGACCCCTGCAGCGAAGGATCTGACAGTGGCCAGGTTCATGCAGTGAAAGCTCCACAGGAAACAGCTGTTGGAGACTGGGATTTTGTTGACAGACACCCTGAAAGGACTTTTATCATTTCTTTTGTTTTGCTTTGAACCTGCTAGGCTGGTTAGAAATTCAAGGACCACAAGCCAACCCAGAGAAGGCTTGTGTAGTGGGGTTTTTATACATGCCCGAAACTCAAGTGTTGATGCTGCTTCAATCAATATAGTCATTTTGCTGGCTGCTAGTCAATAATGTGCTATAAGGACCGATGGCCAACTACAGACTGAACGCCATAAAAACACGTACATAGAGGTTGAGCTAGGTGCAGCTTGAGCTGGTAATATATACCACTCGGAGTAGTATGACTCATGCATAGACTGTTCAATATCAGTGCTATGGGAGAATCAGTTTGATTAAATGTGATACATTGACCATCTTAATGCATTTAAGGACTGCTGCCTTGGGGGTTATTTTCCATATATGGACTGGTCTGAGTCAGTGCAGGTAGAAGACTATTGTGGCCAACTAAGCCCTCTGATGCAGATAAAAACCAGCATGTAGACACATATTGACCTTAACACACACACTGTATATGGTCTACATGGAACTGACAGTCTCTAGGCCAGTGTGAATCAGTGCAAAGGGCTGTCTCTAGAATGGACAAAGAGTGCTGTCTGGTGTATCAGCCATAGTGTGACTTGTGCAGCTCTAAACAGATATGCAGGCAAACAGGCTGGTCAACACCCCCCCCCCCACACACACACACACCTTCCCACACACACACTCCCTCTTATATCCCCTACACAAGATCTGGATATTCTCTGTACTGTATTGTACACAGCCACCACATGTCAACCATGCACGGATTCCTGTATGTGCACCCTGCACACTCTGAGATACACACAGTGACATAGTGACACATCTAGAGAGACCAATGTTTGCTGCAGAGTACTGTTCACACAACAAATACACAGTGTAACAGATCAGTCTCTCACACACAGAGAGAATCCTGTAATGTAACAGGCTAAGGCTCCCCGCAAACCACCAGCAAATATACTGGCCATCCCCCCATTAATTCCAGTGTTCACTGTCATGTACTATTTACACACACACAGAGTAATGTATTGTTCACAAGCGCAACACACCCAGAATATACAGTATAACACATCTGACATCCCCCATCCCCCAGAGATTCCTTCACACATTGCAATGCATTGCATACACATTAAAGCATACACCCATCAGTGTGCAGCACAAAAACTCAGCCATCAGTACAAACACACACACACACGCAACCCCTATAGCTTATCTCCTGTTTACGCTGTGACAGATATACTGCTATTAACATGAGTGACTGACCCGGGCTGGGATCCCGCTGTCACAGACGCTGCCCCCAACGCTTTCAAATGGAAGCAAGAAAAAAAAAACATTGTGAAAAGCAACCCCCAAACAATTAGTAAGATACTGTAATCAATTATAGTGTCCCGTGTCCTGGTCTTGCTCCACAGGGCCTGCCCTCAGCTCATTCAGGGGAGCGGGCTAAGATGGTTAGACTCAGTGTTGCAGCACTGACCTGAGGATGCAGTGGTGGAAGCTGACCCAGGAGCACCTTAGACAGATGGTGTTGAGGAGCTAGGTGGGAGGAGGGGTGGCCAACTGACCCTTTCCTTACTCACACCCCAGTGAATCTCCATCTGCAAGTGTCAGAGGTTCCTCTTCCCTCCTGTGTAACCAGATCTCCAGAATAGGGGGTGGGAGGCATGGTCTCTAACTTACTATTCCCTGTTGGAGCCTCAAGCCAGTTCTGCTCATTGACGATGCATCATGTCCCGTATCCAGCCAACAGACGTACGGAAGAAATGAAAATGAAATCACTTGGTTCTTCTCTTGGGTGGGGATGGGGGCAGCAGAGGGGAGGGAGTTGGGGAGAGCTGCAGTTCACATGTTACCACTTTAAGAACTCCCGCACGTGGCTCCAGAGTTTGGTGATCCAGAGGTTGACGCCCAGATCAGTCAGGTACTGGATCTCGGGCGTCAACATCTTGCGGCACAGCTTCCGGTGCTTCTTGTTGATCTTTTTCTTCAAGTTGTAACCCAGGATGGACTTCTGGCCCAGCGGCTGCCATGGCTGCATGGAGGACTCCTGGATGGCGTTGGCATCCACAGGGTGCCCTCCATCGATGCAGATGCTCTTCATCTTCTCATTCTCCTGGTGCAGCTCGGCCACATCCCTGGCCATTCGCTCCCACCCATAGGCCTCCACCTTGCGCCAGAAGGTGGCATTGAAGTAGCGGTAGAGCTTGGCGTCAATGAGGTTCCAGTAGGTGGCCTTCTCATAGAGCTCACCCGTCATCTTGGAGACAGTGGAGTCCTTGCGGGCGTTGAGCTTGAAGTAGAGGATGTCCTCCAGCTCCCAGCACAGCAGGTCCTTCAGGAGCACTAGGGACTCATCAAAGTACTCCAACAGCATGACCAGATGGAAATGTTGGTCGATCTCCTGGATGTACTGGTCCACCAAGGGGCTGTTGGCATTCATGTTGTTGTCATAGCCCAGGTCAAAGAAGAGCAGGTTCTGGAGGTAGTGAGCGTTGAACCCGTTAGGGTCATAGTAGTGCCATGGATCACGGAGGAATTCTGCCAGCTTGTCCTCGCCTTGCAGCTTCCAGGTGAGGGGGATGATGCGTCCAAAGTAGTGGAAGGAGGACTCGAAGAGGTAGGCGGGGTCCCGCAACACTGTCAGAAAGATGGTATCAGCTGGCAGTAGCTTGCGCACCTCCTGGTACTGGAAGCGCATGTGGTTGCAAATGATATTGAAGCACATGCCGGGCTGGTAGTCCTGGACCTGGCTGCGTTCAAAGTAGGAGGGGTAATAGAAGTCATTGCGGCCATTGGGGAAGGCAAACTTGAGGCGGTGCTTCTCGCCGAAGCGGAAGAGGATGTTTAGAATGGTGCTGCTGGCTGTCTTGTGTGTCTTCATGAACATGATGTCCAGCTTGGGAAGACATCCTTGCCCCGGGGGACTGTGGGTGCTGTTTGCTGCACCTGGCACCCTGGCCTGGGCAGGATAGGAGGAGCAGGAGTAAGGGATAGGAATCCTGGAGGAAAGGAAAGAACAGGCACATCCATGAGGGTTGGATCTCTGCGCTGGCCTTGCTCAGTCACCACGATCATAGAATCATAGAATATCAGGGTTGGAAGGGACCTCAGGAGGTCATCTAGTCCAACCCCCCTGCTCAAAGCAGGACCAATTCCCAACTAAATCATCCCAGGCAGGGCTTTGTCAAGCCGGAAGGAGATTCCACCACTTCCCTAGGTAACCCATTCCAGTGCTTCACCACTCTCCTAGTGAAAAAGTTTCTCCTAATATCCAACCTAAAGCTCCCCCACTGCAACTTGAGACCATTACTTCTTGTTCTGTCATCCGCTACCACTGAGAACAGTCTAGATCCATCCTCTTTGGAACTCCCTTTCAGGTAGTTGAAAGCAGCTATCATATCCCCCCTCAGACCAGACCAGACCAGCCACGAGGGCCCTGCAGAAAAGAGCCATTCCTTTCCAAGGGAGTTCAGCTTTGGGGAAAGGTGCTGGCTCAAGGGCTCTGGGCACAAGAGTCCTCTCTTGATCCCCTGAATGGGTACAGCACAGACAGCCACATGGCAGGTTCCCAGGCACACACTGCCCGCACTGAGGGACCAGCTGTGGGGTGGAGAGGAAACCAGGCTCTGTATAGTTGTTTTGACAGGGTCTCTTCCTGAAGTACCTGGGCTGGGTCCATGGCCCATTCAGTGCTCAGCCTCTCTGCTATCATTGCCAGCAAGAGGGCCAATGAGTGCAGGGGTGATGTGCACACCTGCCCAGCAGGAACTAGCCTGACATCACTGTAAGTAACCCTGGCTACTGTACATCCATCAGATGAGAGCTGCTTTAGTCTCTATGGGGGGATGCTGAAAAGGAGTTAGGCTCCTAACTTCCATTCCACCATGCTGTCCTGGGCTTGACTAGAAACAATGGCTGGGGTGAAAGGCTCCACACTCTATTCCCAACTCCTGAGCCAACCCATCCCCAGGAGCCAACATCCTTCAGTACAAATGTAGTGAACCAAACTCTGCCTTCAATTGCCACCAATCTGAAGTCACAATTTGGCCCCAAGATTTGAAAGCAAGTTTGTCCTTTCAGAGAATCACGGCAGCCTGAGGCCAGCACCTGTCAGGAACAGCAGGGTAAACAGCAAAGTCAGTGAGGATTTCACTGGAGTTACTACAGATTTACACCAGGGTGACACAAACTGGAATCCAGCCCCTTTCCTTCACTCCGCTGCTGAGGTGCTTTTCTGGCTGGATCACTGGACCTTTGACACTTGCAATAACTGAAGCTGTTGGATTTTGTCTCCTCTCCCCTTCACCAGGTTAAATCTGTGTGTGGCAGCAAACACCTGCTCATCAAGTCTGATCTTCCTTATTCTGAATCTATCTATTGTCCGATGTAAAGAGTTTTATCCTGCTGCCCATCACTGTAGTATCCGAGCACTTTCCACATAAAATCACTAGCAATAGCAAAGTCCCTGGTGGACTTATTAGTCTCTGAAACCTCTCCTTGGAGTAGTCGTTTTTTAAAGTGGGCAAGCCCCGCTGATCCCTGCTGCCGGGAGGGGTCAGGAGGGACACACAGGGTCAGACTAAACCTCACCCTATCCCCGTATTGCTTAAGAGGTGGGGACCAGGCTGTCTTTCATTGGAGAGGGAATGTTCCTTAGTCTTCAACGCGGCCCCATATTGGCTCTAATGCTGCAATAGTGCAGCCCTTATTGTTCCATCTTTGTGACAGCCCCCTCCATTTACCCCAAGGAGAAGGAGGAGTTTGTCCCTGTGAATCGGCAGGAGCCTGGAGGTTTTCACCGTTCTGCCATTTCTGCACTGCCAATTGTCCTTTCCCTTCCCATTCGCAATATAGAGCATGTGGCCCAGAGCGCAGAGAGCTGCCCGGGGAACGGCTTCTAGGATGGCGATAGCTCAGGCTCAGTGTGAGTAGCCCAGGGACTGGGGAGGACATTGTGATTGGAGGCTGTAATGGACGGGGCTATCGCTACACTGGTGTGTGTACAATCTGGTGGCTGTTCCCATGTGCAATGAGACTGAGATTGGTGCATCTCAGCCCAATTCTAACACACGCATCTCCATCACAAATGCCTCCACCATGACTGGCACCCACTGGCCTCTTGTCGGCAGCCTCAAGTTAATTTAGTGAGACAGGAGATTGAACTATCCTTTAGAAGGGACCTGGCCAAGGCAGGACTGTCCATCTACCACTGTCCACCATGCTTAGATAATAATTATACATCAATACCAAGCTCTAATGCAGCACTTTACATCTGTAGCTCTCAAAGGTATGGAAGTGAGAAAGCACACAGGTGGGTAATGGCTCACAGATCAGAATGGCCCATCACAGGCAGAGGCAGCTGAGCAAGCCTCTCCAGCCAAGGGGGCTCAACTTGGCCATGGGAGCTCTTCCAGCCATTGGCTCTCTTCTGAGAGCTGGGGTGTTGTTTTGTGACATTTATCCTTGTCCAGTAGAACTGGACTGAGCCCCCCAGTTGACTTCACACAGACGACAACTTTCAGGATGACTACACTACAAACCCCACGAGTGGCAGCGAGTCTCAGAGCCCAGGGCAGCCAACTCAGGCTTGTGAGACAAGGTTAACAATAGCTGTGTAGGTGCCAGGGCTCGGACTGGAGCCCAGGCTCTGAAACCCGGCCAGGAGTGTGTGTCTCAGAGCCCGGGCTCCAGCCCCAGTGGGAACATCTGCACTGCTATTTTTAACCCTGTGGCGTGAGCCTGAGTCAGTGGATGTGAGCTCTGAGACTCACTGCTGGGGGGTTTTCTTTGCAGTGTCGATGTACCATATCACTCCTTGATTGAATCCACCTGGGCTGGAGCTGACCCAATGTGGCTCCGTACCCCACCTGCCAATCCCCTGAGCCAGCCCTTGCCCACCCCTGGAGCCAGCATTTCTGAGCGGCCGGAAAGGAGCTGTTCTAGAGAAAGCCCAGACCCCATGGCAAGGAGGGACTCACTCACTCCATCATGCTGACTTGCAGGGGTGGAATCACGTAGGAGTACAGCAGTAGCATAAAGCTGGTCAGGACAGTTCCCAGAACAAGCCCCTTGCACATGGACCTCCAGTGCTTCTTCTTCTGCAGCATTGTGGTCACCTGCAAATCCCAGAGAGAGGAGCAGTTAGGGAGGCAGACAACCAGAGAGAAGCCTTCAGTAACTCCCTAGAGACAGACAGAGAGAGCGAGAGGATGGCCAAGGTAGAAGGGACAGAAAGGGAGAGGAGATGTGGAGGACACAAACATCCCAGGGAAGAAAAGAATTCTGATTCCTAGATTATTACCCCAGCAGGGGCAACTGTGACCATCTAGTGTGAGCGTCTGCATAACACAGGCCAGAGAACTTCCCTGAATCCATCCTACCTGAACTAGAGCAGAGCTTCTACAAAAACAGCCAATCTTGCTTTAAAAATTGCATGCGATGGAGAATCCACCACAACCCTTGGTGAACTGAGCCAATGGTTAATTACCCTCACTGCCCCTCATTGCTAGTCTGAGCTCTTCTGAAAATCTGGCCCATTGTTGTTAATGTGTGCGTGGTTAGAAGTTGTGGGTTTATGCTAATGTTTTGGTGCAGCAGACGGAGCAGTGGAAAGGAGCAACAAAGAAATGAAACAAAGGCATATGCGAAGAAATGGGTACATTCTCTCTTGCCTATGTTATACTACAGATCAGACCAGATAACCACGGTCCCTGCTAGCCTTAAAAATCTATCACTCCATTTTGGGATGGACTGTCTGTACACAGAGATGTTAATTTACTGATCTATGGCAACTAGGAAACCAACCAGTAGAGTTAGTGCCACTTGACATACCCAGATGATGGGTTCACCAGAAATGCCTAGAGACAGAGAGGGTTAGTGTTATTTCCTATGGCAGGGCAGGCCTGAGAAGGAGCCCGAATGTACCAATGTACATTGCCAAAGAGCCACAGGAATACGTTAGCAGCCCCCCCATCAACACCCCCCCTCCACTCCCAGAGCCTCCCGCCCACCAGCAGCCCCACCGATCAGCACCTCCCCCTCCCTCCCGATCAGCTGTTTCATGGTGTGCAGGAGGCTCTGGGGGTAGGGGGAGGAGTGAGGGCATGTCAGGCTCCGGGGAGGGGGGCGGGAAGGAGTGGAGTGGGGGCTGGGCCTGTGGCAGAGCCACGGGTTGAGCAGTGAGCACTCCCTGGCACATTGGAAAGCTGGCGCCTGTAGCTCCAGCCCTGGAGCCAGTGCCTATACAAGAAGCCGCATGTTAACAGCTGGCTCCGGAGCCACAGGTTGGCCACCCCGTCCTATGGTAATAGCTTGTTCCACAGACATGCTACCAGACTCTGCTCCGTGTATACAAATCTGAGGGCTAGTGTGCAGTGGTTCTCAACCAAGGTTACATGTACCCCTAGGGGTACGCAGAGGTCTTCCAGGGGGTACATCAGCTCATCTAGATATTTGCCTAGTTTTACTTAAAAAGCACTAGCGAAGTCAGTACAAACTAAAATTTCATACAGACAATGACTTGTTTATACTGCTCTATGTACTACACTCTGAAATGTAAGTACAATATTTATATTCCCAATTGATTTATTTTATAATTATATGGTAAAAATAAGAAAGCAAGCAATTTTTCAGTAATAGTGTGCTGTGACACTTTTGTATTTTTAGGTCTGATTTTGTAAGCAAGTAGTTTTTTAAGTGAGGTGAAACTTGGGGGTAGGCAAGACAAATCAGACTTCTGAAAGGGGTACAATAGTCTGGAAGGGTTGAGAGCCACTGAGCTAGTCTACACTACACTTGTACTGATGTAGCGCATTTGGTGAAGATGCACTATGCCGATGGGAGAAGGCTCTCCCGTCAGCATAATTACTCCACCTCAACGAGAGGCAGAAGCTGTGTTGGTGGGAGAGCGTCTACCGCCAACTTAGCACTGGTACGGACAGCGCTTAGATCGATGTAACTTGAGTCATTCAGGGGGGTGGCCTTTTCACACCCTTGAGCTACATAAGTTACTTCGACTTAAGTGGTAGTGTAGACAAGCCCTCAGGGACAAAGGAAGAACATCAAACAGGGATAAAGAACATTCCAACCAAGCTGCCAAATTGAGGATGGCTATTGTCATTTTTAAATAGAGCTGGGAGGGAAAGCGTTTTCCTGTCCTGGGAAAAATGTTGAGATTTCAAAAAAATGTCCTCTCCCAAATCAGGATGAAAAGTTACAATTTCGAAATTTTTTGCAAAACCAACAATCTGAGTCAATCCCAATGTTTTGTTTCAATAATTTCAAAGTGTTTCATTTCAATTTTGACCTTTTTATTTTTATCATTTTTACTCTACTTAGCTGACATTTAGAATCAGAACATTGTTCCAAACCGAAAAAGATGAATTTTTCATTCTGACAATTTCAAAACCATTTTTTCAAAAAAATGTTCAAAATAAGACATTTGTCAGAACTGACCTTTTCCCACAAAGGTTTTCAGGTTTGACGAATCAGCATTTTCTGATGAAAAATGGTTCATCCAAAAATTCTCGACCAGCTCTATTTTTAAATTATTTTTCTAACAAAATTCATAAATTCATAGATTCCAAGGGACATTAACTGATCTAAATATTTACCTAGTTTTACAACAGGCTACAGAAAAAGCACTAGCATACAGACAAAATAAGAAAGCAAGCAATTTTTCAGTAATAGTGTGGCTGTGACTCTTCTGTATTTTTATGTCTGATTTTGTAAGCAAATAGTTTGTAAGTGAGGTGAAACTTGGGGGTACACAAGACAAATCAGACTCCTGAAAGGGGGACAGTAGTCTGGAAAAGTTGAGAACCACTGCTCCAAATCACATACCACCTCCTAGCATTCTGGGCTCAAAGGAGTCCCCTGAAAAACTCAAGAATGGGATGAAGGAGCAAGCAGTTTTTCAAGCACACATTTAAATTCTTTCCTGTGGGAACCCTCACATCTTTGGCCTGTTGCCAAAATGTCCTCTGCTGCGAAGGACACATGGCTAATTGATCTCACCATGTCACCTCTCTCATCAGGTCCTGCTTTCTCCTGGCTGCTTGGATGGTCACATCCTTTCCAACCAGCTGCAAACAAACAACAACAAAACAACTGGCAGGGTGTCAGAAACAGCAGCTGCATGCTTCATAAGTGCACATCTCAGCCGCTAGGGGTGATGGGGCCTGCCCGCACTCCTGCAGCGGACCCTGTTCCTCTCTGCTCTTCCTCAGGCTCCCCTGGACTCCCGCATGGCTTGAGTCTGCTTCAGCGACCCCCTAACCTCTAAGAGGCCTCCTGGGAAGTGATGCTACAGGCCTTCTGTCCCCAGGCTCACTACTCAGTGTCCCCTGGGAACCTGGTGGAGTTAGAGAGCCCTGCATAGACAATGACGGGTTAAAGACCCCCACACTGACTCCTCTCATGGATAAATTCTAAATCACTTTAAAAAAACCTAGAGAAATTTCCAGACAAAACACGGGCGCATTAAGGGTGAGAAATACCAGCAACCTCAACCCCAGAAGACCAGGGTAGCTATTAAAAGTAGCTTAGGCACACAGTGGTGGGATGGTAAAAACAAGCCTGTATGTGCCAAGTGCAGCTGCTTGAGCTACAGAAATGGTGGGACAGTCCTAGATTCCAAGGTCAGAAGGGCCCACCGTGATCATCTGACCTCCTGTCTCACACAGGGCAGAGACCTGCCCCATAAGAGTTTCTAGGGCAGAGCTTTTAGAAAAACATCCAATCCTGATTTAAAAATTGCCAGGGATGGAGAATCACCACACCCCTGGGTAAATTGTTCCCATGGTTAATTACTCTCACTGTTAAATCTTTACACCTTATTTTCAGTCAGAATGTGTCTAGCTTCAACTTCTAGCCGTTGGATCATGTTAGACCTTTGTGTGCTAGACTGAAGAGCCCATTGTTAAATATTTGTTCCCCATGTAGCTACTTATAGGCTGTGATCAAGGCACTGCTGAAGCTTCTCTCTCTGTTAAGCGAAGTAGATTGATCTCTAATGAAATAGCTGGAGAAAGACGATTGAGTGAGCAGCTTCCAGCCCAGCTGTCGGTCAGAGCACAGCCTTCTGTACATTAACCATGGTGGTCTGTCAGGAACAAATTCACACCAGGGGTTCCCAGGGGGGTGGATTAGGGCATGATCTAGGGATCCAGTCCTTGGGTGGGAGGGAAGCTCATGGATCCACAAAGTCTGGCTTCCAGGCTCCGTGGGATAAGGGCCAACGGCCAGAGAGTTCTGGGTGTGCCCTAGTGAGTCAGGAGTAGGATGTAGCCTGGCAGGGAGGCTGGAGTGGCAAGAGCACTAGTTTGTTGTGGGGGGGCTGTTGGCTGGACTGGAACCAGACCCCTTTTGTCTCAATTTACATACTGGGTGTTGAACAGATCTTCAGACAGTGACCGTGAGCCAAGGCCCAGCTGAGTGTTTGGGTGAGTATGGATTCCAGGTGAAAGGTGACACCATGCGTCTGACGAAGTGGGTATTCACCCACGAAAGCTTATGCTCCAATATGTCTGTAAGGTGCCATAGGACTCTTTGTCGCTTTTTACAGATCCAGACTAACACGGCTACCCCTCTGATACTTGACACCATGCAGGTGAAAGGTGGCTGTGTTTGTTAGACCTTGGGTCTGGTTTAGACTATAGGTGGAAAGTAGACAATAATTAAGACCTGGATTGCTCCCTCAGCCACAGCAAAGGTCAGTTCCCCTGTGTGAGATGGCAGGCCCACCAGCTTCAAAGGACAGCACTGTGGGCCAGCAGGTGGGATCTAGACGCAGTCATGTTTTCTTCTGGCTGGGGTACAGAACATTAAGCCGTCATCTTTATATTAACCAGTGGTTTTCCCTCTGGGGCACTTGGCCGCCTGCTCTACTCCTGCTTTCCTCTCACAGAAGCTGTTATTTCACCACTATGGCTCGTTATCCCTAGGAGTCCCTGCAGAGCGTTTAAAGGCTGTTCACAGCCTGCAAAGACGGACTGCCCCTTGGATGGGGGAGCAGCTCAAGCTGGGGGAAGCCAAGGACTGGAAGGGCCACCAAGTGCTGCTGATACTCACAGGGGCCAAGCTCTCTCCTGGGGGCAGCAGTAGAAACTGACTCGCCACCAGGTGGCACTGGGCTGTTTCTTATGCCCGCAACAGTAGCAGCCCCGTGGGTGGTGGAAACAAAGGCTGAGCATCCCATGACATTCCCACAAGGGCTGGACAAAAGCAGCTTAGGTCATAGGCTTCACGTCTCACTGCACAGCACAGCTCCAGGTGGAGCACCTCCTCCTAGTTCGCCACCAGCTTCACTTCCAGCCACACACTGGACACGCTGCATGGGGCCTCCTGCCCAAGCACTGCTTAGCTTAGGGCATCAGCCGAGGGGCAACAGGGACGGCAAAGGCAGCAACTTGAGGTCAAAAAGCAAAAGTAATCTGCACCCAGCTCCAGTGACTCTAGACAAGAGCATGGGCACTGCTAGCTAAAGAAGCCCATGCTGTGCCCGTTGAGTCCAGAGAAGCTGCTGTAACCATTTGACCTTCTGTGTCTCCAGACAGCCCCCTCCTCACCCTACACTCACACCAATCAGCTCAGTGTACGTGGCAGACAGCAGCAGCCAATCTGAGCCCAGAGGGACCAGCATTGCCACACAGATGGCAAGTGTGTAACGGGATGTGCGTCACTGGGTCACGCGGGTCCCAGGCCTTCTGACTTTACCCTCCTGTCCAGCTCCCTCTCTCTTTAGACTGTAAGCTCGTCAGGGCAGGGACCGTGGCTTTCTTTAGGTGTGTGCAGACCTAGCGTGCTTGGGGACCTGCATCCATCATTCAGACTAATTTCCAGGGGCCTGGAGCCACTTGTGTGCACACAGACACACACACGAAAGCCAAACCATCCAAGCAGGGGCACAGGTGCCCAGAAATACACATAACCTAGTCTCAGGGCTTGTCTACGCTTACATTTTATAGCGCTCTAACTTGCTGGCTCAGGGGGGTGAAAAATCACGCAGCAAGTTTGAGCACTTTAAAGCACTAGTGTGGACAGGCGCCGAGCGCTTGGAGCTATTCCCCTCATGGAGGTGGATGACCACACTGCCACCGGAGCACTTTGAAGTTTCTAGTGTAGACGTAGCCTAAGTCTACACACCTGGTAGCAGAAGGACACACACGTCAGATTCACTCCCACAGGGGGCAGCAGTGCACAGACATGCACCTGCCAGGACAGCCTTATAGATATTCATGAGGCAGTGAATTTTTCACCTGCTCTCCAAGGAAAGGGCTCTCCCCTTCTTGAGCCCTGCAGCCCAGCCTCCCCAGGGACAGTCTCCTGCTGCTCTCTAGTTCCATAGTTCATAGGCACACAGGATGCACCTGATCCTGGATCCAGAGGAAAACCACTCATTCTTACCACCCCACCCTATGCACAGGGTGCACACAACCTTTCCTGGGAAGCACAGCCCCTCCTGCCTGACCCCCTCAGCTTGTCTAGGAAGCCCCAAGCCAGCCAGCAGGGACCAGAGGGAAGTTAAAAGGGTACAGCACCTGCAAACCGTCAGCTGTAACCTGCAAGAGATGAGTTCTCTGGAAGTCCCAAGGAGCAGAGGAGACGGGCAGGTTCAAGGTCTGACACTGACTGAGGCTGGAGCTGCCTGGTAGCGTGTGAGTGACTGCATTGCAGCAATGCTGTCCTCTGTATCAGGACAAGGAGACATGCTACCTGGGGACGGGACAGCTGCTTGCAGCAATGCTGGGCTCCAGGCAAGGCCCACAAAGGTTTTGGGCGGCCCAAGGCAAAAATCTGAAACGGAGGCCCCTTCGTACTTCCAAAAACATTATCATGTGTAGACCAAAGGGGAGGAGAGAGCCCAAGCCTGTTGTAGTAGTAGGATTTTATGTTTGTATTTTGTATAATTCTATAGCTGAGCTGATTTCACGGCAGTAACAGACTTTTATGGGTCACCACTTTGTTGTAGGCTTAGCATTTTAAAATAAGTAAAAGAAGGCCATGATTGGTTTTCTTCTGCATTGCAATTTGATGTTCCTGTTCAAAATGTTCTGTGTACATTAATTCTGTTTTGTGTGTGAATGAGGAATGGGTGTTAAGAGATAAGTATGAAGGCCATCACTAAACCAGATGTTCTAGGGAGGAACCGGAGACAGACGCAAGGGTGCCAGGAGGCTGCAACACACCCCTATTGACATGTCAGAGGAGGGCAGATTGATGACTCTAAAGATGAGACAGGCACCTATCAATGGGGACAAGATAGCTGTGATCAAAACCAGCATGATCAAAACCAGCACTCCCCGAAAGACTTAATGAAAGAACAAGATAAAGGATGAGAAAAACAATTTAAGAAAACAAGCACTCATCAAACAACAATTGATTACAGCATGATGGTGCAAGACTCATTGGTCCCAATGAAGGAAAATCACTATGTAAACAGGGTGCCTTGCCATGAAACTTTGGGTTCATCCTGCCAAGACTTCCCTGGAGCATTGTGTTGCGACCGACAGAACCCGGTTCCTATCTACCCGTGATCCTGGCCACTAGATTGATCCAGACTCTGGACTGGTAACTATAACATTGACTGGCAGGACTGTCTGTGTGTGTGTGTGTGTATGTTATTGAATGAATATGCTAATTGTTATATCTTCAATAAATGTGGCGTATTGCCTTTTTCCCTGGAAAAGATCCTGTGTGCTTCTTATAAGCATAACACTGTGGGGTCTCTGCCCTCCCTGTCACTCTGTCACCTTGAAAAGTATTAGACAGGAGAGGTGTACATTCTTAACAGTGAGAACAATTTACCCAGAGTCCTATCTATCCAGGGCCGGTGCAAGGAAGTTTCACGCCGTAGGCGAAACTTCCACCTTGCGACCCCCCGAGCCCTGCGGCAGCTCCCCGCCCCCACTCCGCCCTGAGGCGCCCCCTGCGCGGCAGCTCCCCCCCGCCCTGAGGTGCCCCCCCCCACGACAGCTCCCCCCCTGGGGAGCCGTGCAGCAGCTCCCCACCCCAGCTCACCTCTGCTCCGCCTCCTCCCCGAGCACGCCGTTCCTGCTCTAATTCTCCTCCCAGGCTTGCGGCG